TCCTGATACAGATTTGCATACAACTGCTCCTATGATAAAAACACAAATTAGGGTGAAATCCATTTTCAAATATGCCAAAATAGATACAGACCCAAGCCATGTGGTTCCCATAACAATTCCCAGCACATGTTTGCAAACTCAAGTAAAGGGGGGTGGGGAAAGGGAACCCACCACATTTGTTGAGGCCCTGCCAACATGCCAGGCTTGGAGTTGCTATTTCATTGCATTCGTTCATTTACTCCCCAGCAGCCCTGGGAAGAAGATGTTGAAGTATACTTTTCTTTCCATCAATGGAACAAATGAAGTTCAGAGAAGTGAAGAAACTTTACTCAGCAACTTACCAGCAGAATCAAATATAAGCCACGATTTTTCTAATTGCATAGCCAAGGCAGCCAACAAACCTCTCTAGGTCTGATGTTGACAGGGAGACTGAATGAGAAGCAGGATAAGACAGAGAGGAAGCTAGAGTACTGCAGGCCCTGGGGATTTTACGTACCATTCCGCCATTGTCTGATGACTAAGGATGTATTGGAGATTTGGGGCCTTGTGAACGCTAGGCAATCACTTCAAACACTGAGCTACACTTCAGCCTTGAAGATGTGTGTGTGTGTGTGTGAGAGAGAGAGAGAGAGAGAGAGAGAGAGACAGAGAGAGACAGAGAGACAGAGAGAGATGTGGGGGGTAGCAGTATTAGGGCTTGAACTCGGGGTCTGGGTACTCTTAGCTTTTCTACTCAAGGCTGGTGCTCTACCATTTGAGCCACAGCTCCACTTCTGTCTTTTTGGAGGTTAATTGAAAGTAAGAACTTCTCATGGACTTTCCTGCCTGGTCTAGCTTCACATTTGGCTCTTTATATCTCAGACTCCTGAGTATCTGGAATTACAGGCTTGCAGCACCAGATCCTGGTGAGAATACTAAAGTAGAAAAATAGGATTTAAATTGCTTGTTGCATGTTGGAAAGAATGACTGGAGGGCTGATGATATAGCTCAGTAAATAGCAGAGCTCTTGCTTAGCAACTGAAAGAAAAAGAGGAGGGAGAGAGAGGAAGAGAGAGAGACAGAGAAAGAGAGAGAGAGAGAGAGGGAGAGAGGACTCAAGCACATACTAGAAGGAAGAAGCCACTAAAGGAATCATGCAGGTATTAGTCCAAGCAGGAAGTGTAAGGTAAGATCTGATCAGGGAGTGTCAGGCATCTGGAGAAAACCAAGGGCTAGAGGGAGGAAGAAGAGAGAGAAAAGTGTCTTCCATCCCTTCGATAGAGCAAAGCAATTGTTTCTGACCCCTAAAACAAATGACACTTGTGGATTCCCCCACAGAACAAGTCGGATGTGCTCAAGCACATGATGGTTTGCACATCATGATAGGGGGCTCAGATTCTCTGAAGCCTCAGGTTGAGAAGTAAATTCTTGCTGGGGGCTGGGGGCTCACGCCTGTAATCCTAGCTACTCAGGAGGCTGAGATCTGAGGATCCCAGTTCAAAGCCAGCCCAGGAAGGAAAGTCTGTGAGACTCTTATCTCCACTTAACCACCAGAAAACCAGAAGTGGTTCTGTGGCCCAAGTGATAGAGTGCTAGCCTTGAGCTGAAAAGCTCAGGGACAGTGCCCCAGGCCCAGAGTTCAAGCCCCATGACTGACCAAAAAAAGTTCTTTGGAATTCTAGGAGGAAAAATGACCTAGTAGGTAAGTTTGTAGATGCTCAAGTCAGATCTCCTGACTTACAACCTCAGCTGTACTGTCTCTTAGGGAGGTAAGTTTCCTTAGGACCTGGACCCTAGAATGGTACCAGGAACCCAGAAAGTACTCAGGAAACAGTGGCTGCTAGTGATACAATGATACAGGTTAAGTTGGAATGAGACTGAGACTCTCTCTTTATCTCTCTCTCTCTTTGTGTCTCTGTCTCTGTGTCTCTGTCTCTGTCTCTCCTGAGGCTTGAACTGAGGACCTGGACACTGGTCCTGAACTTTTTTTTGTTGTTGTTGGTCATGGGGCCTGAACTCTGGGCCTGGGTGCTGTTCCTCAGCTCTTCAGCTCAAGGCAAGCGCTCTACCGCTTGAGCCATTGCACCACTTCTGGTTTTCTAGTGTTTTATTGGAAATAAGAGTTTCACGGACTTCCCTGCCTGCTGGCTTTGAACCATGATCCTCAGATCTCAGCCTCCTCAATAGCTAGGATTACAGGCGTGAGCCACCAGCACCCGGCTGTTCCTGAACTTTTGTGCTCAAGGCTAGTCCTTTATTGAGCCACAGCGCCACTTCTGCCTTTTTGATGGCTAACAGGAGATAAAAAACCTATAGACTTCCGTGCCTAGGTTGGTTTCAAACCGTAATCCTCAGATATCAGCTTCCTAGTTGCTAGTTACAAGTATGAGCCACTGTTGATACCCAGCTGTATATACCTCTTGCACCCTACTTCCTGACTAAGGACTGGTGGCATTGGAGCTTCCTGCCTGAGCCCCTGCCAACTTTTTCCATTCTCTGAACCCATTCTTCCTTTTTTATTATTATTTTTTTTTTTTTTGTCGGTCGTGGGGCTTGAACTCTGGGCCTGGGCGCTGTCCCTCAGTTCTTCAGCTCAAGGCAAGTGCTCTACCACTTGAGCTATAGCGCCACTTCCGGTTTTCTGGTGGTTTATTGGAGATAGGAGTCTCAAGGTCTCTCCTGCCCGGGCTGGCTTTGAACTGTGATCCTCAGATCTCAGCCTCCTGAGTAGCTAGGATTACAGGCGTGAGCCACCAGCGCCCGGCCCATTCTTCCTTTTTTGATCTGAGTTTCCATTATTCTCAAGTCTAGTTATTAAAGAGTGAAAGCTAGGTGCCGGTGGGCTGGGAAGGTGGCTCAGTGGTAGAGCGCTTGCCTTGCATGCCTGAGGCCCTGGGTTCGATTCCTCAGCACCACATAAGCAAAAAGAAAAGAGCTGGAAGTGGTGCTGTGGCTCAAGTGGTAGAGCGCTAGCCTTGAGCTGAAGAGCTAAGTGACAGCCCCCAGGCCCAGAGTTCAGGCCCCACTACCGGACCAAAAAAAAGCTAGGTGCCGGTGGCTCAAGCCTGTAATTCTAGCTACTCAGGAGAGTGATACCAGACAGGGCAGAAAAATCCCTGAGACTCTTATCTTCAATTATCCAGCAAAAAAAAGGCAGAAGTGGAGGTATGGCTCAAGTGGTAGAGTACCAGATTTGAACAAAGAAGCTAAGAAAATACATGATACCTTGAGCCCAGGTCCCAGAACTGGTGAAAAAAAAAAAAAAAGGAATCAAGCCAACTACCCTCCTTTCTAAGAGGAAGAAGAAGAGCTAGGCTAAATCACCACCGAGATCATCCAGTCTTTTTCTTTATCACAAGATTACTGCTAAGAAACTGGAAACACTGGGCTTAGAGGAACCTTCATCATGGGGGTTCTTCATAACTCTCTATTCATGGAGAACCCCCCAAATCCATCTTGCTAGCTTTCCTAAAATACTCCAGCTGAAGTGGAACTCATTGGCTTAGCATATGCAAAGCCCTGGGTTCTAGTCTCAGCATGGCAAAAACAAAAAACAGTAAAGAAAAAGGAAAGATAAACTTTATATATACCTATATGTTTATCTGTGTGTGTTTATTATTTATTTTATTTTTTATTTTTTTATTTTTGGGTCCAGTCGTGGGGCCTGAACTCTGGGCCTGGGCGCTGTCCCTCAGCTCTTCAGCTCAAGGCTAGTGCTCTACCACCTGAGTCACAGCTCCACTTCTGGCTTTTTTCTTTTTGCTTATGTGGTGCTGAGGAATCGAACCCAGGGCCTCATGCATTGCAAGGCAAGTGCTCTACCATTGAGCCACTTTCCCAGCCCCTGTGTGTGTGTGTTTAGTAGTAATAGTAGTCCCAGATCAGGAGGATAGAGGTAGAGGAAAATCACTTAAGCCTATGAACTCAAGACCATCCTGGGCAACATAATAAAATGGACTAAAAAAACAACAACAAAAAGGGAGGTACTGGTGGCTCAGGCTACTCAGGAGGTTGAGATCTGAAGCTCTCCATCTGAAGCCAGTCTGGGCAGGAAAATCCAGTTAGCAACCAAAAAGCCAGAAATGTAGCTGTCTCTTTTTTTGTTTTGGTCCGGTCGTGGGGCCTGAACTCTGAGCCTGGGCGCTGTCCCTCAGCTCTTCAGCTCAAGGCTAGCGCTCTACCACTTGAGCCACAGCGCCACTTCCGGCTTTTTTCTTTTTTGCCTATGTGGTGCTGAGGAATCGAACCCAGGGCCTCATGCATGCAAGGCAAGCACTCTACCACTGAGCCACCTTCCCAGCCCTAGCTTTGAACTCTTAACTTTACCTCCCAAATTACACCTGGAATGACAGGTGTCATGCCCAGGTAGCATCATCCAGGTTCTCACAGGAGAAGGCATGAGCTTTCTAAATAGAAGATCCACCAAGTAGCTGCGTGATCCCAGTGCAGTTCCTTCCTCCTCTGGAGCTCAGTTTCCTAAACTGTAGATAATATCTATCCTTCACCCTTCATGAGAGCTTTATGAAGAGGAAAATGAATAAATAGCTAAGAGAAAAGTTGCAAACTAGAGTGTGAATAGTTGTCATTCTTCTTGGTCTTTTAGGCTCTGTGATCTGCTTTCCACTGAAATTGCAGTGCTTAGATTAATAGGGAGCCCCAACACTGGCTCTCTAGGGCTATCCACAGCCTGGCAAGATGAACTGGATCTGGGGTCTCTGTACAGAAAGAAGGCCTGTTCATGGAAGATGTTTTGTCCTCCAGCTCAGAAGCACAGAGGCCTTCAGGAAATTCTTGAGAGGGAACCTGGATAAGAGTTTCCTCTCCAGTTGCCCTTCTGTCCTCCACCCTAACAGAGGCAAACGGAACCACGTGTAGTGTAGCTCTAATGGGAGGCACAGGCTGTCCCAAGGTAAAGTGAGACTTGGCCACCCTGAAGTAGATTCAGGGCTGGCACCAAACAGATCATGAAGAACTCAGGTCACAAGTGCGCACCAGTAATCCCTGAATTCTGGAGGGTAAGAATGGAGGATCCCGAGTTTGAAGCCAGAGTGAGCTACGCTACAGAGCCAGATCCTATCACCACTAACCATAATAAACAAAAAGCATAGACAGATGTATAGACGAATAGAGAGACAAACCGACCCGGGTGGCTCAAGTTCGAGTTCGGGTTCTTCATGGACTCTTATAGAACGCTACTACCAAGCCCGGCGCTGGTCACGCCTGTAAATCCTAGCTACTCAGGAGGCTGAGATCTGAGGATCGCGGTTCAAAGCCAGCCGGGGCAAGAGAGACTGTGAGACTCCTATCTCCAATAAACCACCAGAAAACCGGAAGTGGCGCTGTCGCTCAAGTGGTAGAGCGCTCGCCTTGAGCTGAAGAGCTGAGGGACAGCGCCCAGGCCCAGAGTTCAAGCCCCAAGACCGACCAAAAAAAAAAAAAAAAAAAGAACGCTACTACCGCCTGGGGCCAAGGTGCCGCTTGGGGGCGACCGAGAGCCCATCCACTTCCCCTTTAAGGCTGGGGCGGAAGACCGGAAGGTGAAGACTTTGCGTCGGCTGGATAGAAATAGCCCTGTCCCTTTAAGAGGGCGGAGACGCCGGTGTGGCGGCCGCTTCGAATGCGGCCTGCGGCGCCGGCCTTCGGTTTCTGGGCGACCCTCCCTCAGCCTCCTCCCGGGTCACCGAGACTCTTCCTGGTGACCCTCCTGTCCCAGCAGCGTCGCCCAGATTTCGACTCTTCCACTTGGGCCCAGTCCGAGGCAAGCCCCGAGGCTGGGTGGGCCCGTCCACTCACCTACGGGGTCCCGCCGCCGTCGCCATGGTAATGCCGCGTCTACGCCTGGGGCGTGGGGCGTGGGGTGGGGGTCACCGGGCTAAGGGGCCCGCGGGCTGCGGGGCCGGGGTCGGATGGAGCTCGGTGTAGGCTGCAGATCTGGGTAGTGTTTTGGCCCGGACGTGTTCGAAACCTTGGGAAAGCCCTTCCTCTTTCACGCAGGCCTCAGTTTCCCTCCTGTTTCTTCCCTCTTTGAAGATCTGGGCACCCTTCCGGTGCGCAAACATCACTAGCTTTGGGGGCCATCCTTCCTCTCCGCACCCACTCTGACCCTTGGACTCGACTCCGTCAATCGCCGCCTTGTTGCTCTGGCATCTGGGGTCAGGGACCACCATTGGCTCTGGGTTGACTGCTGCAGGCTGGAAAGGAGAACCATGGATGGGGGACACTTCACTCTCTTGAGACCCTAGCTTTATGGGCCATTGGATTAGGTAGAAGGAAAGAAGGCATTGCCTTGATTGTCAGAAACAACACCCCTGGGCCAGACATGCTTACCTTTATGGTGGTTTTCTTATGCTGGACAAACGTTTGCGATTTTGTGAAATGACCTCAAGCCGGTGTGCACAGTGCTGCTGAAGGCCTGTCCTTGATCCCCTCAGCCACCCCTCTATGTCTCCATCCCTCTCTCCCAGGATTAATGCAGATGGGTTTGAGTGGCTTCTATTACCAGAAAGTATCTTTAAGTCATTCAAGTCGTTAACCTAATCCCATTTCCTCTAGCACTGCACTAGCAAAAAAAAAAAAGGAATAAAACATAAAACAAAAGCAGTACATCTGATGGTCTTGTTAGAGCTGGGAAGATGCTTGACAAGGACAGAATGTACTTGCAAACAATATTTCTTCTTCAGCCTCAATTGCTTTGTTTTCCTTTCAGGCATGCAGTTTGCAGAAGCTGTTTGCTGTGGAAGAGGAATTTGAAGATGAGGTAGGAAGTGTTGGTGATCAGGGTGGCAAAAGAGGTCTTGAGATGTAAACAGCCAGGTGCAGAACATTTTAGAGCAGCTCACACAAACCTGCTTTTAGTTGATGTGAGTGCTTTCTTCCTTCCTTCCATCCTTCCTTTCTCTTTGAGGCAGGATAAGATATGTAAACAACCACTGAATGTAGCAGAATAGGCTTGTAATATCAGCACTCTGGAGGTAGAGTCAGCAGGGTCTCAAGTTCAAGGTTAGCCTGAGCTACCTAGATTCTCTCAAAAAAAGCCCCGTCACATGCCAATTAAATATTAGTTTCTGTGGATGGCACAAATATTTCTATTGGGTGCCAACTGGCTATATGAGCCAGAAAAAAATTTTTTTTTCTAGGCTATTTCTGGCAGGGGTATTTTGGTGCTAGGGATTGAACCTAAAGTTTTATGTGTCCTGAGCATATGCTCTTCCACTGAGCTGCACAAACAAATTTACTTTTTATTCCCTAATGCTTTGCCTAAACTATTCTTCTCAGAATAGCTTATGCCTGGCTGGTATTGTAAATGCTGTACCAGAGATCCTTCTGGTAGCCTATATCCCATTCTTCCTTTCTCTCTGTGTGTGTGTGTGTGTGTGTGTGTGTGTGTGTGTGGTGGTTATGGTGTTGAGGATCAAATCCAGTGTAAACATGCTGCCAACTAAGATATGTCCCCAGATTTCTTTAGGGCTTTTTTTTTTTTTGGTCCTGGAGCTTGAACTGAGAGCCTAGACACTGTCCCTGAACTTTTGTCCTCAAGACTAGTACTCTAACCACTTGAGCCACAGCTCTTCCTACTTCTGGCTTTTTATTGGTTAAATGGAGATAATGATCATAGGGACTTTCCTGCCAAGACTGGCTTTGAACTGTGATCCTCAGATCTCAGCCTCTGAATAGCTAGGATTCCAGTACCCACCTGCTTTTGGACTTGGGATTTAAAGGAAAAAACTCTTCAGAGCTCTTCTCCCCATCCCCACCCTCCATTTCTGGGGCTTGAACTCTGGGCCTTGGCGCTGTCCCTCAGCTCTTCAGCTCAAGGCTAGTGCTCTATCACTTGAGCCACAGCACCACTTCCGGATTTTTCTGCTTATATGGTGCTGAAGAACAGAACCCAGGGCCTCATGCATGCAAGGCAAGCACTCTATCACTGAGCCACCTTCCCAGCCCCATTCTTAAAAATTGGGGCTAGAATGTGGTTCAATGGTGGATAGCTTGCCTGGCATTTACAAGGCCCTGAATTTGATTGCCAGCACTAAAAAAAAAAAAAAAAAAAAAAGGTCTTTGGCTTCTCATTTATTCAGGCTCCAAGATGAGAGCACAGTCCTGTAAGTTGCTTAACCACTCCGAGTCTCAGTTTCTGTATCCACAATATGGGAAGAACAATAATCCTATTCATAGACCATGTGAGAATTCATTGAGAGACATCTAATAGAATACTTATATTGTATCAGGTACTCAGTAAGGTTGCAAATATTATCAGGTTTTGTTATTATGTATTATTCAAAACTACCAGCTTTGTCAAGGAGATGTGTTCTTGTTTTTATCTCTCAGCTTTGGGGATGTGTGATTATAGGTGAAAAAGAGACTGTGAAATTAGCAATATGGGTCTTAGCAGATGATGATAGGCTTACCAGACTGGTGATGGCATTGAGGAAGGGCTCTGTTCCAAGTTTCTGTGCATCGACAATGTAAAGCAGTCCTTTGCCCTCCTCCCAGTGCATGTCGTGCCATGTTTGAGAGTGAGGGACCGGTCACCCTCCAGGGTTATCAGGATTCTTTTTTTTTTGGGGGGGGGTCAGGTCATGGGGGCCTGAACTCTGGGCCTGGGCGCTGTCCCTTAGCTCTTCAGCTCAAGGCTAGCACTCTACCACTTGAGCCACAGCGCCACTTCCGGCTTTTTTCTTTCTGCTTATGTGGTGCTGAGGAATCAAACCCAGGGCCTCATGCATGCAAGGCAAGTACTCTACCACTGAGCCACCTTCCCAGCCCCAGGATTCTTTTTTTTTTTTTGGGTCCGGTTGTGGGGCCTGAACTCTGGGCCTGGGCGCTGTCCCTCAGCTCTTCAGCTCAAGGCTAGCGCTCTACCACTTGAGCCACAGTGCCACTTCCGGATTTTTTCTTTTTGCTTATGTGGTGCTAAGGAATCGAACCCAGGGCCTCGAGCATGCAAGGCAAGTGCTCTACCACTGAGCCACCTTCCCAGCCCAGCCCCAGGATTCTTATCATTCTCTTTTTTTTTTTTCCCCCTTTGGTCATAGAACTTGAACTCTGGGCCTGGGCGCTGTCCCTTGGCTCTTCAGCTCAAGGCTAGTGCTCTACCACTTGAGCCATAGCACCACTTTCAGGCTTTTTCTGCTTATGTGATGCTGAGGAATCAAACCCAGGATCTCATGCATGCAAGGCTCTACCACTGAGCCACCTTCCCAGCCCAATATTCTTATCATTTTGATTTGTTGTTGTTATGGCTAAGTCCTAAGGTGGTCTTGCTGGAGGGTGGGAGTCTCTGGGTCCTACACGAAGCAGCGACAACCCTTTTTCTAGCTCAGACCATCCAGTGGAGCAGTAGGCTATGTGTGTGTGTGTGGTGGGGGGCTTCCTGTCAGTTAAATCAGCAGTTCTGACTCAAAAACACCCTCAGAACAGGTCTCTTGCTCTTGAAGGTGTCAATATCACCTTGCTTCCCAACTTGAAACCATACTTAATTTAACTTGCTTGAAAAGCTATATTTAACTTCTGCCTATTTTGCTGGTTCCAGGGCTTTCTGGCTTACTGAGAAGCATGCGTGTGCTAAAAGTAGGTAGTGGGCTAAGGACAAGGCAGTGTGAACACCTAGGTTGTTGGGCACCAGAAAGCTGGTCTCCTTGAGAAGCATGTGTGAACTTGAATGATTGCTTTAACTCTTTGGTGCCCTGAGACATTTGCTCCCCTCCACCCCTCCAATGCACTTCTTGGAAATTAAGTAAGGGAAGCTACCCAAAGGTATAGCCTTGGGATGTTTCTTATAGAAGCCTGATGGTAAGCTCACGGGCAAGGTCAAAGTTTGGTGAGAGACACACCATTGCCTTTTGCTTGTTTCCTAACTAGTGTTTATGCACATATATCTTTTTTTTTTTTTTGGGTCCGGTCGTGGGGACTGAACTCTGGGCCTGAGCGCTGTCCCTCAGCTCTTCAGCTCAAGGCTAGTGCTCTACCACTTGAGCCACAGCGCCATTTCCAGCTTTTTTCTTTTTGCTTATGTGGTGCTGAGGAATCGAACCCAGGGCCTCAGGCATGCAAGGCAGGCGCTCTACCACTGAGCCACCTTCCCAGCCCTATGCACATATATCTACACTCATGTGCCTGAAGAGTAAAAGACTTTTGTTTTTGTTTTTTGATGGTACACATGCTAGACTAGCACTTTACCACTTGAACCACACCTCTAGCCCTGTTTTTTCTTTCTGGAGATGGAATATAGTGAATTTTTCTGCCCAGGCTAGTTTTGGTCTACAATCCTCCAGATCTCAGCCTTCTGAGTAGCTAGGGTTTTTAAGTGTGAGCCACTGAGGCCCAGCTGAGTTTTCAGATTCTCAGATGTAAAGACCTACTGTCTCTTCTCTGTAGGATTTCTTGTCTGCAGTGGAAAATGCTGAGAACCAGTTTGTTGGAGCACTGCCTGTGAATGCTGGGTGTTTGAGACCTGTCTCTTCCAGGCCACCGGAAGCCATGCAGACTTTGAGTCCATTGCCATTACACCCCACTGTTCCTCTAACCCTCCCATCCCTGGGAGTCTGCCTCCCTACCTCAGTGCCCCTGAGGCCTGTCTCGACTTCCAGCAGCTGGACTGGCAATCAGAGAATGACCCTAACAGAAGGTCTGCGAGAGCCAGCCCGCTTCCAGTCTCCACATTCTGTCCTTACCTGGGAAAAGCAGCAGGGCATGGGTGGCTTTGAGGGACCCGAACAAGACGACTTTGATAAAGTCCTGGCAAGCATGGAACTGGAGGCAGCTAGCATGGAGCTGGAACTTGGAGTTAGCAGTGAGATCACACAAATCTCGCCTGCTCAACATCAGGAGGACTCAGTATTGGCTAAAAAGGCCCGAAGAGCTGATCTCAGTGGGACATGTCAGAAGGGGCCCGTGCCAGCCACCCACACAGCGGGCATCATGTCAGTCCAGGATGAACCTCTTCAGCTGCCTAGCCACGACAGACCTGCTGCCTTGGGCAGCCCTCCCACCCCACTGATCTCAGCAGTTCCTGCTCGGCACCCCCCCTGGGAAGTCTGCCCCAAAGGCCCCTCTGTTCCAGCACCCCAGCCTCTCCAAGCTGGGGGACGGCCCATTCAGAGCAGCCCTCAAAATCGTATGCCCAGTCTGCCATTCCAGTCTCCCAATGCCCGGTTACAAGGCAAACCTCGTTTTTCTGGACCTCAGACTCCCAACTCCAGCTGCTCTATTCCCTCAAGGGCCAGCGGTGCTGTACTTTCTCAGGGGCCTTTGCAATTTCGAACCCCAGTGTGTTCTGTTGAGTCTCCTGTTACCCCAAAAGGTCCCCATTCCTCCCTGGTTTCCCAGGCTACTGTGCAGGCACCCAGAGTCACCAACCACCTAGTACAGCTGGTCACAGCTGCTAGCCGGACACCCCCACAGCCCACCAGAGCCAAAACTCGCCGCTTCCCTGGCCCAGCAGGGCTTCTGCCTCACCAGGTAGGTGAGCTGGTTCTCTAGGATGTTAGGTAAAGGGAGAAAAGCACTGGGCCAACCCTGTAATGTCTCACAGAAAGGAAGGAAGCAAAGAGAGAGGGTTTGCAAAGCTGAAGAAAACAAAAGAAATGGAAAGAAACAGAGTAGAACACTTGCCTAGCACATTCAAGGTCCTGTGTCCTGTGTCCTGTGTTAATCCTCAGTATTGGGGGGTAAAAAAGATAAAAGCTTAAAAATCCACCCACAGAAGAAGCACTTAAGAATTTTCTAGTTTTCATATGTCTACTGTTTACTTAGCACTAGGGTAAGAAGATAGATTAATTTGCTAAGGGGTAGATATTGGGCAATTTGCTTGGAACAGAATACAGAGATTGAAAGCAGTGCCTATTCTAAGGAGTTTATAGGTTTTTTGTTTTTGTTTTTTTTTTGTACCAGTCCTAGGGCTTGAACTCAAGGCTGGATGCTGTCCCTGAGCTTTTTTGCTCAAGACTAAGGCTCTATCACTTGAGCCACAGCTCCACTTCAGGCTTTTTGTTGGTTAATTGGAGAGCAGAGTCTCATAGACTTTACTGCCCCAGCTAGCTTTGAGCTGTAATCCTCATATCTCAGCCTCCTGAGTAGCTAGGATTATAGGCGGGAACCACCAGAGCCTGGCTGTGAGGAGTTTATAGTGTAGTGGGAGAAGTGGGTATGAACAGATGGTTATGGCCAAAGAGCTCTGTGTGAAACCCGGGTGCGCTCTGAGGACAGTCCAACAGGGCTGTCTGGACTAAGGGCATGTGGTCTTGGAGGTCCATAGAACAGTTTCACTGTAGCTGCTTTGTGGAGCCAATGTGAGGAGGCTGGGGCTGGAAAGGAGATAGCCCTGCTCAGAGTCTGTGTTTGCTTGACAGAGACACATGACCCATCAAACTAGTTTTGGTCTGATTGTAGGTAGTTGGGTGCACCCTTCCACTCCTCTTTGGGGTGTTTGAATCAATTGCTGCCTGTTACTGGTTCTTTCATACTATATTGAGAGAAATCAGAGGAGGTTGTCTCTGTTCCTCCTGGGCTGGATCTCCCAGGGGGAAGGGTTGGGACTCAGAAGAGTCTTGGGAAAGCTGCCTCATAGCTCATGACAGGCCCATCTATTTGGGTCACTGCCCTCTTCAGGCAGCTCTGGGCTTTGCTCCTGGGCCAGCTCTAGCTTCCTCACATTCCCAAAACGATCCCCAAAGTGTCTTTTTTTGAGCTGCCAATGAGGCTCCTGAGACTGCGTTAGGAGAGATGTAATATGTGTTAATTGTCCTTGATAGTTTCCTGAACTCATTATGTAACCCAGACAAGAAGCTGTACTTGTAAATAACAGCTGCTGAGTTTGCTCTCGCCTTCTTCTCTCTCCCCTCTTAGCATAGTGGGAAGAATCTGGAGGAGATCATGGTTTCCACACCCCAAACTCCAACTCACGGTGCTCTGGCTAAATTCCAGACAGAGGTAACTTCTTCCATGCAAATGCTCATTCCTGGGCCTCATTTGAGAGTGAGGGGTATACCTGCATTTCAGGTGTTGAAGAATTGAAGCTGGGCTGGGAAGGTGGCTCAGTGGTAGAGTGCTTGCCTTGCATGCTTGAGGCCCTGGGTTCAATTCCTTAGCACCACATAAGCAGAAAATTCCGGAAGTGGTACTGTGTCTCAAGTGGTTGAGTGCTAGCCTTGAACTGAAGAGCTGAGGGACAGTGCCCAGACCCAAAGTTCAGGCCCTACAACCGACAAAAAAAAAAAAAAATTGAAGCTGATGGTGGTAGGCCTGTATCAAAGGGCATTTGGAAATGCAATTGCAGTAGGCAGCAGCACGTTTACCCTAAAATGAGACTCATCTTGATTCCAGCTAGACATTAACTGATGTCACGCATCTAGCCTTTTTTCCATTTGAGAAATAAAGGCCCAGCTAGCTGTCTTTTCCCAGGGGAGGAGAAAGTAGTAGGTGTCTGTGATGGTATCTCAGTAATCCTTCCTCTCAGGTTTCTAGACACTGAGTTGGGAAGGATCTTGTCTTCCATCTTGCCTCCAAAAGCAAGATGGTGAGAGAAACTTTCACTGGTGAGAGCAACTTCCCTACCTAGCCTTGGAGTTCTGATTGCCCTACTCTATCTCCACACCCCCTTTTGCTTATGACTTTCCCTAGTATAGCTTCTCTTTGCTCCCCAGACCTGCCAGTTCAGATCCAAAGCAGTAATAGTTATCTAGATTTAAAGTTATGAATATAAGGTTAAATGCAAGAAGATATAATAAAGCCAGAGACATCCCAGATCAACTATGGACTGGATTCTAAATGGTTAAAACACTCTGGAAGTCTATAAAGATATGTGTGGGGTCCCTATCCCTAAGAGGTTATATATTAGTCTATTGCAAGATACAAGTATGGGCTGGGTACCAGTGACCCTAGCTACTTAGGAGGCTGAGATCTGAGGATTGCGGTTCAAAGCCAACCGAGGCAGGAAAGTCTGTGAGACTCATAACTCCAGTTAATCACCAGAAAACTGGAAGTGGTGCTATGGCTCAAGTGGTAAAACGCTCGCCTTGAGCTGAAGAGCTCAGGGACAGTGTCCATGCCCAGAGTTCAAGCCCCACGACCAACAACAACAATGAAAAAATACAAGTATGGGTAGATTTTTGCTTCGATGTAATTAAAGTCAGGACCTGGTTTATTTATTTTTTTCTCCCACCCCTCTCAGTCAAGGGTCTGGCACTAAGGCAAACCCACTAATGCAAGTTCCCTTGTGCTCTATGGTGCCAGGTTGCTGCTAGTTCCCAGGTATCAGTGGAGGAAGATTTTGGGAAAGGGCCTTGGTTGACCATGAAATCCTCTCTGGGCCTGGATGAGAGGGATCCCACTTGCTTCCTCTGCACCTACAGCATTGTCATGGTGCTTCGGAAGGTAAGAGTCCTGAGTGGTGAGACTCTATAGTGAGACTGTTTTATACCAGCCTCCTGCCCTGCTCTACCTTAGGATGGGGCTGTCTGCTCACTCTTAAATCAGGCCTGTCTCAAGGGGGCAACTGGAAATCCCTTCAGTTGTATCTTCCACTGCTTATTTTTTCCCTATTACCCACAGTACTAGGCACAGGCAAAAGGAGAGAAGAGTGGGTTCTGGGCTTGTTTCTGTACTTCCAAGGACTGGATGAGAGATGGGGTTACACATTGCTACTCTGAGTGCTCCCAGTGGTCTAGACCATATGCAGATTCATGTTAGAACCTGTGCAAGCATACCCCTGCCCTAGGCCTGCCATACTGTAGTGATACATAAATGTTATACATGAAAGAAAGAGCATGGGAAGAGAAATGAAGGACCTGCCAGCTTTAGGTCTGCTGAGGGAGATGAGATGCACCCTTCTAACTGCCTTTTTACCCCCCAAAAAAGAAGATCAATCATCACCACACTGTAGTTGTCCTAGCACATGTAGACGCCTGGGAGGCTACGGATGAGCCACGGCTAGCTCAGTGAATGCCTTTCCCTGTAAGCAGGCAGCCCTGAAGCAACTTCCCAGAAACAAGGTTCCCAACATGGCGGTGATGATCAAGTCTCTGACTCGGAGCACGGTGGATGCCAGTGTGGTTTTTAAGGACCCCACAGGTAAGGCATTAGATACTGGTCTCGTAAACAGCGTCTATTGAGGTTAAGTGGTGAGGAGAAATCACCCTCTCCATTTGGAGATGAGAAAATGGAGGCAAGGAGCAGCCCATGTCCTAGACAGGGCTCAAGCCAGTCATTGTTGTGATTCTGAGACTGACTGCTATGTGGTATTTGCAGGAGAAATGCAGGGGACCATACACAGGGTGCTTCTGGAGACACGCCAGAATGAGTTGAAGCCTGGCTCAGTGCTGCTGCTGAAGCAGGTAATGGAGGTCTGAGTGGGCTTCCTGGAGAGAGCCTCCAGGCTGTCTGGGCTTTACGTGGATGGCTGCCTTCTCTCCTAGTTTCCAAGCAATGGGCAATCAGATTATTGCTAGGGCCTGGTTTACTAGAGCCAAGAGCAGGCCTGTGGCCCTTGAACAGCTCTTGCTCTTCAGGCTTAAGTAGGGATGGAGGGTTGTGTGGCATGGGGATGGGGTAGGGGAAGTTGTATCTTGCTGTTAGCAAGGCTGGAGCCGGAGCAATTTGTGTGACCTGATGCAGAAGACACTGAACAAGAGGCTGGCAGTTACCTAGTGTTCCATCAGATATTGACTTTCCCTTCCTCAACTCCAGATTGGAGTGTTTTCTCCTTCACTCCGGAATCACTATCTCAATGTGACACCCAACAACCTGGTCCATATTTACAGCTCAGATTCTGGGGATGGGAACTTTCTCAAGCCATCTCAACTATTCTCCAAGGTAAGAGGAACAGGATAGATAGGAACTGGTGGAGCCATGCATCTGGATCTTCTTATTTCCTCTTCACCTCTACCCTGGGGAGCCAGGACTTGAAGGGAACAGTTGCCCTGAGTTGAAGAGGTGCCTTTGGGGACTGGATTATCCCCTCCTGTCTCGAGTCCAGCTGCCTACCAGACGGCTTAGTAACAGTACCTTCAGTAGCAGCTGGCTTCTTGGTGTTACTGTGTCTGATGGCAGGCTTGAGCACCTGAGAGCGGAAGAGTCACTTGAGAACCTACCAGGGTGAGGGCCCACTGGGAGGCGGGGGTGAGGGGAGGGGGAATGACAGATGGAAGGCTGAACCTGTTCCAGGTGGCTATGCAAAGAACAGAGAGCCATGATGACCCGGCAGGTGAGCCAGCACATACTCAACATCATCTCTCCTGGCCTCTGTTCTACTAGGCAAGGTGGGAACAAATGCACAGAGTACTTGGGGGACATCCCTTTAGGAACTGAGGTGAGCATCCAGTGTATTAGTGAGGTGAGGATGGGTTCCAGGCAGCTCTAGTCCCAGGTGTGAATGCAGAGCCTAGGCCTGACTTACTGCCCTATTCTGCCTGGAGGCCAGAAGTTCTGCCTGGAGGCCAGAAGTCCTGGGTCTTCTCCAAGTTTTGCTGATCATTTCTGTTGTGACCTTGGGCAAATCCTGTCCCCTCCCCTGTGTTGCATCATCCTTAGAACATGTGGGTTCGGCCGCATGACCTCTAGTTGGCTTGGATCTTTAGCTCTAATATGTTACTTAAATTTCCTTCATCTACTTAAATTTCCCATATTTTCTCAAAATTACCCAATCTCTAAAATTATTTTCTTAAAAAAAATTTTTTTTGGGGGGTCCGTTCATGGGGTCTGAACTCATCCTGGGCGCTGTCCCTCAGCTCTTCAGCCCAAGGCTAGTATTCTACCACTTGAGCCACAGCACCACTTGCGGCTTTTTTCTTTTTTTGCTTATGTAGTGCTGAGGAATCAAACCCAGGGCCTCATGCATGCAAGGCAAGCGCTCTACCACTGAGCCGCCTCTAGTGGCTCATGCCTGTAATCTTAGCTACTCAGGCAGCTGAGATCTGAGGATTATAGTTCAAAGCCAGACTGTGCAGGAAAGGCTGCAAGACTCATCTCCAATTAACTGGAAGTGACACACTGGTTCAAAGTGGTAGAACACTAGCCTTGAGTGAAAAAACTCAGGGATAGCTCCCAGACCCTGCGTTCAAGCCCCATAAACAACAAACCAAAAAAAGTTCTGCGGGGCTGGGAAGGTGGCTCAGTGGTAGAGTGCCTGCCTTGCATGCATGAGGCCCTGGTTCAATTCCTCAGCACCACATAAGCAGAAAAAAAAAAGCCAGAAGTGGCACTGTGGCTCAAGTGTAGAGTGCTAGCCTTGAGCTGAAAAGCTAAGGGACAGCACCCAGGCCTAGAGTTCAGGTCCCACAACTAACCAAAAAAAAAAAAAAAAACTTCTGATCATCCATACTCGCTGAAAAAACATAGGATAGGGGCTGGGAAGGTGGCTCAGAGGTAGAGCGCTTGCCTTGCATGCATGAAGCCCTGGGTTTGATTCCTCAGCACCACATAAGAAAAAAGAAAAAAGCCAGAAGTGGGGCTGTGGCTCAAGTGGTAGAGTGCTAGCCTTGAGCTGAAGAGCTAAGGGACAGCGCCCAGGCCCAGAGTTCAGGCCCCACAACCGGACCCCCAAAAAAACCCACAAAAATAAAAAAACATAGGTTAAACAAAACCCAGGGGGCTGGGAAGGTGGCTCAGTGGTAGTGCTTGCCTTGCATGCATGAGGCCCTGAGTTCGGTTCCTCAGCACCATGTAAGAAGAAAAAGCCGGAAGTGATGCTGTAGCTCAAGTGGTAGAGCACCAGCCTTGAGCTGAAGAGCTGAGGGACAGCGCCCAGGCCTAGAGTTCAGGCTCCATGACCAACAAAAACAAAACAAAAAATCCAGACCCTTAGTTCAGGCCCCATAACCAACAAACAGAAAAAGTTCTGATCATTCATACTCACTGAAATAACATAGGCTAAACAAAATTGAAAGTAACTCTTTCCCACTCTTATTCCCTAAGGCTAACCATTGTTACCAGTTTAATAGCCAGTTTTAGTTGCCTGCCCATACATTAGCTAATTTGAGGATTGTTAAGTTTATTTTAATTCCAGGCTAGCTCCTCAACATCTTTCTGAATGTCTTCTCCCCCTTCTACTCTGATTATACAGATTCCCTAAAATATTAAATACTGTAGAATTAGGAAAGAAAAAAAAATCAGTCAAAGAAGGTCTATTTGTGTTAATTATCTGCTGTTTTGAGTGCCTGGTGTGTCAGGTCTATCCCTCAGCCTGGACCTGGGAGCCCTGGGCCTTACCACACACTTCTACCATGTTTCCTTCCTGAGCCCCCACCTGATCCTTGGAGGGCATGTGACTAGAGTTGGTAACATCTAAAGGTGCTTCAGAGACATGAGCACTGGTAATTAGATCTTTTGTCTTCAGGGTCCCAGAAGCTTCTGTGACAACTTCCAGCCTAATGTGACCCCAAAGCCAGCACAGAACCCAGTGGTGTCCCTGGAGGAAGAACTCCCAGAAGCAGGTAAGGTAACACAGCCTGTCCAGATCAGGAAAGGCTCTGTGTCCTCTGGTGTGGCTCAGCCAGTGTCTTCCTTGCTTCATCTTATTCCTCCTGTGAGTCTTGGGACCTTAACATAATCTCAAAAATCAGATAGGGCATCTGCTTTGGCAAGGCCAAACTAGTTAACAGTGTGATTAAAAAAAACATGAAATGTAGCCCACGTTTCTCCCCCTATTTCCAATGCATGCATTGTCAGCCTCAGGACGGAACATTGCCAGCCTCATCCAGGTGGACAGGTGCTGTCCTTGTGTCATACACACAGATCACAGAGGCAGTGTACTCATCCCACTGAAGCTCAGAAACGATTGAGGGAATGCTGAGTTATCACATACCTAAGTGATTAGGGGGACCAGGATACAAACATGAGGCCCAAATGCAGAACTCCTATGGGTAGTGGTTCCGGGAGGCTGTACTACTAGGTGAAGCTAGCACAATCCACAATCTCTTAGGTTTTGTTTTTTAGGCCATAACCAGGACTCAAACTCATTGTTGTCTGACATGTTCATTCATTCGCTAATGTTCTACCACCTCAGCCATACCTACAACTCCTTAGGTTTTATTTTGTGCTTGGTACTGAGGCTTGAACTTAGGACCTGGGAACTATCCCTTAGCTTTTTCACTCAAGGTTAGCACTCTACCACTTGAGCCACAGTTCTACTTGTGGCTTTTTTCCCCCTCCATGGTACTGTGGTTTGAACTCAAGGTTTTACCTTGCTAGACAAATTCTCTGCCACTTGAGTCACACTCCTAGCCCTTATTCTGATTTTCTTGGTGGTTAATTGGTGATTTTTTGGTTATTAATCAGAGATAAGAGTCTCCCAGATTTTCCTATGCAGGTTGCCTTTGAACCAGTGTCCTTAGATCTCAGCCTCCTGAGAGGCTGAGGCCTGAGGATTACAAGCATGAGCCACCAGTGCCTGGTTGACTTTCTTTGTTTTTGTTTTTTTGTTTTTGTTTGTTTGTTTGTCTCGGTCTTGGGGCTTGAACTCTGAGTCTGGGCACTGTCCCTTAGCTCTTCAGCTCAAGGTGAGTGCTCTATCACTTGAGCCACAGTGCCACTTCTGGTTTTCTGAGTGGTTAATTGGAGATAAGAGTCTCATGGACTTCCCTGCCCAGGCTGGCTTTGAACCATGATCCTCAGATCTCAGCCTCCTGAGTAGCTAGGATTACAGGTGTGAGCCACTGACGCAGCTGGCTCTTTGTTTTTTTGATTGCAGAAATTTAACCCCATCTGGCCCCCTAAAGGTTATAGGATTATGGGTGTTTTACACTAACCAAATTTACAATATACCAATGGATAAACCCAGAAAGCCATTATTTACATCCTATGAAAATATTGGTAGAGTGAAGTGCAGTTACTGAATTCGAGTTCTGGTCCCGGACCTAAATAAAGAGAAAATATTGGCCCCTTTTACTGGAGTCTTACACTGTCTGGAATCCCCCACCTGTCTTTGCAAGTAAGTCTGATGCCAAGGCTAGTCATTATCCTAAGAAGAGGTTGCCGGTGGTCATGGAGCAAATATGAAGACAGTTGACTATAGAAGATGAACACTGCTGGGCGCCGGTGGCTCACACCTATAATCCTAGCTACTCAGGAGGCTGAAGACTGCGGTTCAAAGCCAGCCTGGGCAGACTGATGTCACATCTCCACCATATGGGTAGAGCTGCTGAGCATGCAACCGCTAGAAGTGCTAGAGAGGTTGGAGACATGAAATGAAGTCTTGCTCCATTTCTCAGTTTCCTCGTGCACCCTCGCTTCTCATTCTTCTCTATTTCCCATGGTGCTTCTCTAACCATTATAGGACAACTATAAAAAGTCGTGTAGGACTATAAAAGACGAGTAGGACAACATCTCTTGCTGTAAGCACATTTCAGCACCTCCCCCTTGAGTCCAGTGCTGGTCACCTTAATTAAACTTGGAATGTTCTCCAAACTAACTTCTTTCCTTCCTTCCAGCAGCAGTATTTATTATAGTGCTTTTTTTTCAGCACTAGGCTCTTAGGGATAAGTATCCAGGCAATCTGACTTTCCCTAAGGCCTTCTGACCCCATCCAGAAAGTGAACTTTTCATGTTTTTTTTTTTTTTTTTCGTGGGGCCTGAACTCTTGGCCTGGGCACTGTCCCTCAGCTCTTCAGCTCAAGGCTAGCACTCTACCACTTGAGCCGCAGTGCCACTTCTGGCTTTTTCTGCTTATGTGGTGCTGAGGAATCAAACCCAGGGCTTCATATATGCAAGGCAAGCACTCTACACTGAGCCACCTTCCCAGCCTCCAGAAAGTGCACTTTTCTAGTTGGTAGCAGTGAACCTAGTGTCAGATGGTCTAAGGGCAAAGTTATTTTACCTACTTGACCCCTGTTCTCGGTAAAGTGAAATTTATCACAGAAACCACAATAAACTGCCCTGAGAAGGGTTGGTGAGCACAGAGCAAGCATTCAATGACTATTAGCTGTTATTGTTTACCAAAGAATATCAACAGGGATTCTCAAAGTCAGTTCTGTTCCCAGACTCTCAGGTATAAGCACTGCATCAGAGACTGCAGTCAGAAATGGCTCCTCACATTCCTCACATCCTGGGGAAGGGGATGATGCTGTGTGCAACTGTCCTCTGAGAAACAAGAGTATTGAACCATGTGGTTCTGAAAGTGATGACTTATACATCTTTCTCCCACTCAGGGAGCAGAATGCAGTAAGGACCTCAGAAGTCTCTTCCTATTCAGTACTGTGCCTCTGGATGATAGGAGAGGAACTATGGGGGCTCAAGAGTGGGGCTTGAACTCAAGGCCTGGGCACTGTCCCTGAGCAGTTTCGCTCAAGTACTTTACAACATTGAGTCACAGCACCACTTCTGGCTTTCTGGTGATTTATTCGATATAAGAGTCTCACAGCTGGGCGCTGTGGCTCACGCCTGTAATCCTAGCTACTCAGGAGGCTGAGATCTGAGGATTGCGGTTCAAAGCAAGCCCAGGCAGGAAATTTGTGAGACTCTTATGTCCAGAAAACTGGAAGCGGTGCTGTGGCTCAAGTGGTAGAGCACTAGCCTTGAGCTAAAGAGCTGAAGGACAGCACCAAGGCCCAGAGTTCAAGTCCCACGACAGACCAAAAGAAAAAAAGTCTCACAGACTTTCCTCTTTCCTGCCCTGGCTGGCTTTTAACCGAGATTCTCAGATCTCAGCCTCCTGAGTTAGCTAGGATTACAGATGTGAACCACTGGTGCCCAGCTCCCATTTTTCTTTTGTTTGTATTTTTTTGTGGTGCTAGGGATTGAACCCAGGTCCTGTGCATGCTAGGCAAATGCTCTACCACTTAGCTATATCCCCAGCCCTTTGTTTGTTTGCTTGCTTATTTGAGACAGAGTCTTTATGTAGCCCATGCTGACTTAGAACTTGACTTCACAGGCTTCCTGTCTCAGCCTCCTAAGTGGTAGGATTATAGATCTGCACCATTATGCCAGCTATACCCTGCTGCATGCATGTGTATGGTGGGGCAGGGGGCGGGGGGCGGTGTTGAGGAGCAGAGGGAAAAGTGAGGCTAGCCTCATCCCACTAACAAGTCACTACTGCCCAGGGGGAGCTACTTCTTCATCTGTACAGACAGCCCAGGTCCTCCTAACAGGTAGCTTTAGACTGTGGTCACATAGAAGCTTAATGTGGTCACTGAAGCTATCCCACCCTGATTCCCTCTGCAGATGACCTGGATGGACTCCTGAGTGAACTCCCTGAGGACTTCTTCAATGTGCCCAGCAGTTGGGACTGCCCCAAAGCAGGGCATCCACCATGAGCAGGCAGTGTCTCCTCTCCCAGGCAAAGATCTGGGTGTATAGGTCATGTCTGAAGTAGAGAGGGCCGCCAAGGGTTTCTGTGGGGCCCCTCCCTGGATGCTTTCCTAGAAAACTCCCTAATTGGCTTGTACGCTGCTGGGGTGTAGGGACTTCCTTTGGCACTGGCATTCCAGAACTGAAGAGAAGACTGGCTCTCCTGCCTTCCTGTCCTCCAAGTCCTCTTGTCCATTGTTTCTTCTCCTGCCAACAGGAAAGGTGTTTCAGACTCCTGCCTCAGCTTTACTTTAGAGGATGTTGGGCCTGGTGACCCTTGTCCCTGGTTAGATGAGGAGCAATATCATATCAATGGTGACTTGAGGCCCAAGGGTGCTGAGGTCAGGGTATGGGATGTGGGACGTGGTTCTGAAATAAAGCAGCCCTGCTTTACCTGCTTCCTCCTCTTTCTCACCCCTGCCCTTCCTTGCCCCCTGCTCAGCCACCAGCACAAACCAGGGCAAAGCCAAGCAATTTGACTTTATTTTTTGTCTTTACACTCTTTTTTTTTTTTTTTTTTGTCAGTCCTAGGGCTTGAACTCTGGGCCTGCGGGCTGTCCCTGGGCTCTTCAGCTCAAGGCCAGCTCTCTACCCTCTACAGCTTGCGCCACAGCGCCACTTCCCGTTTTCTAGTGGTTTATTGTAAATAAGAGTCTCACAGACTTTCCTGCCCGGGCTGGCTTTGAACCGAGATCCTCAGATCTCAGCCTCCTGAGTAGCTAGGATTACAGGCGTGAGCCACCAGTGCCTGGCTAAAATGTTTGTTTTTTTATGTTGTTTGAGGACAGAATCTCACTGCAGTGCTGGGGAGCCTAGAACTTGCTAGGTAACCCACGTGTGAGGGAAGGGCCTCCTGTCTCCGCCTCCAGAGTGCAGGGATTGCAGGTATGCACACATCTGGCTGTTTATCACAGTTAATGAACCAAGGATCACTGACTCTAGACTTCTTTCAGATTTTTTTGGTTTTTCCTCACATCATTCTATTTCTGAGTTCCATTCAAGATCCCATGTTACAGTCTTTTTAGGTCCCGTTGTCCCATCCTATTGGATGTCTCTCTGTTAGGGTGTTTTTCTTTTCTCATGATGAGACTGGGACAACCCCAACAGGTTGGTTTTTTTGTTTTTCTTTTGGCTGGTCGTGGGGCCTGAACTCTGGGCCTGGGCGCTTTCCCTCATCTCTTCAGCTCAAGGCTAGCACTCTACCACTTGAGCCACAGCGCCACTTTTGGCTTTTTCTGCTTATGTGGTGCTGAGGAATTGAACCCAGGGCCTCATGCATTCAAGGCAAGCACTCTTACCACTGAGCTACCTTCCTAGCCCCAACAGGTTTTGAGGTGAGGGGAAGACCTGCAGTAGGGTGCTATTCTCTTCATATTCTCTCAAGGTTCATTCTGAACTTGAGCACTTGACTGAGGTCAGGTCCATCAGGTTTCTCTGCTGTTAAGTTAATCATTTCTCCCTTTCTGAACTGTGTTCTGGGAAGGAAGTCTGTGCAGCCAGAACTTCAGGAGTAGGGAGTTCTGTCTCTTCCTTTAGGACAGGAGCTCTTCATAAGTTAATATGAATTCTGCAGGGGAGATTTCTCTTGTCATCTGCATTTTTTTATGCAGGAAAGGACTAAATTCCCAGCCCCTCCCTCCATTTTTGTTGTTGTTGTTGGTCGTGGGGCTTGAACTCTGGTCTGGGCGCTGTCGCTCAGCTCTTCAGCACAAGGTGAACAAACACTCTACCTCTTGAGTCACAGTGCCACTTCTGGTTTTCTAGTGGTTTATTGGAGATCAGAGTCTCATGGACTTTTCTGCCTGGGCTGTCTCTGAACCATGATCCTCTGATCTCAGCCTCCTGAGTAGCTAGGATTATAGATGTGAGTCACCAGCACCTGGCCCCTCCCTCCATTTTTTTGCTTCACCCCTTTGCTTTTCTACCTCAGCCTACCAGGTTCTTTTGCTTTTTCTTTCCTTTTTTTTGCCGGTCGTGTGGCCTGAACTCTAGGCCTGAGCACTGTCCCTCAGCTCTTCAGCTCAAGGCAAATACTCTACCACTTGAGCCACAGCACCACTTCTGGCTTTTTCCAGTGGTGCTGAGGAATCGAACCCAGGGCCTCATGCATGCAAGGCAAGCACTCTACCACTGAGCCACCTTCACAGCCCCCAGGTTCTTTTTCTAACTACCTTTAATGCCCAGCTCTCCCTCTGTAGCTTAGATCTGGGCCAGGGCCCATAAGTGTGGTAGGCCTGTGTCCCAGGCACAAAGTTTTCTTCCCCATTTCTGGACACCCCTGAGTCCTGGCCTTCACTGCATTTGTCTTGAACAATCCTGAACTACTTCATATCCTGTTTTCTCATGTGCTTCATTGCCCCACAGGCTCTGAGCTCTCAGAAGGCAGGCTGGGCATTACCCCCCACCCCCCACTCTATTCTCTCCAGTACAACTTGTGCACTCAAGTAAAGGTTGCCCTCCTTGCCCTCAGGGAGCTAATGTGAAAAACAAGGAAACCTACATGCCTGTCTTTGGGAGACAGAGCTGTAGTCAGCATCTTCAGGCTTGTATGGCAAGAAGGCAGGGAGAGGTTAGGTTGTAACTATTGGGTGCCTAAGGGAGAAAGGGGACACCCACCACCTTGGCCCCTCTTGGCCACACCCAGCCTCACCAGACTCCCAGCCCTGGGAACCCAGCTGTGGGTGTTCAGCCGGGCCGTTGGCGGGGCAATTAAAAACAGTGGGTTCCAATATGTTTAATCACAACAGCATCCACAGAAGCATCTTTCTCTGAGGATCTCCAAACCCTGGCTGAATATGATCTCATTCCTCCTCTGGGGTCTCCCCACCCCTGGAATGCCACCAAGAAACTGGGGCCAGATGGAGAGTAAGGGCAGTGCCAGAAAAGCCCAGGCTACTGCCACCCACTTGGGCAAGCAGATGAGTGTTCAGTCTGGCAAAGAATAGGGACCTTCATTCAATGCACTACACAGGCCAGACTGCAGTGAGTCAAGCTGCACACTCGGTCAGTGATGGGGCCAGGGCCTGGGCCTGGGCTCTGGCTCCCTCATCCAGCATGACAGGTCCACAAGTATAACCCAGCTGATAGTCTTTAGCATCCTGGATTGGGAAATATCTGGAACTGTGAGGTGGGGGACCTGAGCTTGCTGTGGAGATGTCTCCCTAGAGCAGGTGACCTTTGGGGTGGACTTGGAAGAGTGAGAAGGAAATCCTAAGCCCTTGGAACAGCATGAAAGGGGATGCCAGGAAAAGTTGAGGAGCATGCTCCCAGATGTGGGGCCTTCATTGGTGAGGGCAGTTTTCAGTTTAGGAAGACCAGTCTGGCAGGGGAGCAGAGGGGGTGGAGCCAGAAGGAACACTATATCAGAGCCTGCACAGACCCAGGTTGAAGGCACTGAAGTCTTAAGACAGAAGAAAGGAAAATTCAGCCAGGCGCCCGTGGGTCATGCCTGTAATCCTAGCTACTCAGGAGGCTGAGATCTGAGGATCTCGGTTCAAAGCCAGCCCGAGCAGTAAAGTTCCTGAGACTTATCTCCTATAAACGGCTAGAAAACCGGAAGTGGTGCTGAGGCTCAAGCAGTAGAGCGCTCGCCTTGAGCGTAAGAGCACAAGGACAGCGCCCAGGCCCAGAGTTCAAGCCCTACGACAAAAAAGAAAAGAAAGGAAAATTCAAGAATGGGAAGAAAAGACCTGAGAGGGAGTGAGGAGGAGCCAGGAGTCCACAGTGCACTGCAGGGGAGACACTAGCCATGGCCTGTAGCTGCCTGCTACAGCCTGCCTTCCCAGCGTGGCACTCACACATTTCACGGCCTCATTCCTCCCCCTAGAGGCTCCTGAAAGCAGAGCAACTTCTTCCTAAGTGGCTGAATCATCTCTTGGTCCAGTCCCCAGAGTTTCAAGACCAAACTGGGCCCATCTCTGACAGCCAGGGAGAAATATCCATCTCCAGAAGGTGGAGACCATGTTTTGCTTGAGTGCGTGGGGAATCTCACAACTGCCTATTCCCATGTAGCCAGGGCAGCCGGAACCAAAGTGCACCCTCCATAGTCAGGCCTGCCTGGCTCCTGTTCCCTTCTGGAGCTGTGATCCTGAGCTAGTTTACGTTGGTAAGCTTCAAGTAAAATAAAGCAAGGCCATCTATCTCAGGCATTCAATCAGTCTTTTCATTTGCTATCCAAATCTATTTTGTCTGTGTTGTTTACCTAGTCACACAAGTGAAGATCAACATAAAAGTGATTTAACTACCGTATAGTTCCATACCTATGTGCAATGATTCTATTTCTGTAAATGCTAGGAAACACCATTCACCTTCTCAGTATCTCACGTGACCTCCTTTACTTCCGGTACTGAGGAATTCTCTTCTCTACGAGGACCAACCTAGGTTCCCACCCAGGTCACAAAGGGTAGAGGTCCCTCCTTCCTCCTGGCTCTCCATCCCATGGCTGGCTTGCCTCCAGCCTTGCCAACCCAGGGGGCTCAGTCGGGAGGACTGGGAAATATGGACTCTGGGGTCCAGCTGAGGGTGTCCTGTGCAGATAAAGGGTACCAGCAGGAGAAGCTGGCCTGGCACCATCTCTGCACCAGGATCATGACTCTGGGCAAACTGTTTACCAGAGCAGTAGAAGACTTATTTATAGCCTCAGCTGCTCCTCTCCTGCTCAGAAGAGGGGGCAGGGTGGCTCCTAGAGCAAGGGTGCTAGTCAGGTGGGGAAACAAGGTTCTGCCCAGGTGCCACTTGTGCAGACCCCTGGGCCCCTCCTCATGGCAGGGGAGACCTTCCCCTTCACCTCCTCCACACTGCGTGCCCTCCGCCTGCAGCGTGAGTGGCTGGAGTGGGAGGACCGGCGCAGGGCTGCTGCCCAGCAGTGCCGGAGCCACCGGAGCCTCTCCAGTCCCAGGACTGGACTCATGAGGCCTCGCCAGTCCTGCCGAGACCCTGCAGTCCACAATGCCCTGTTCTCGGGTGA